AATATATAAATAATTTTAATTATTGTTATTTTTAAATATATAACCTTATGTATTATTTATTAGTTTGCTTTTTATTTTATTTTTTGCAGTTGAAATACAATTTTCGTAAACTCACTACATAAAACTGGGCCTAATTTAAAAGTGGCGTATTCCTTTTAAAATAATTGTGGTGTATAATCTGTAATTACATTGGATCTCTCACCAATCACATAGTATTATAGTATTATGGAGTAAAGTACTGCTTGGCGGCAAGAAAGAATATATTACCAATTCAGACTGACTGTTGGTCAGAAAAGGAGTCGTTCCATTGTGTGTTTTCTCCCAATCATAAAAACCGTTGCCCTATTATTATTATTTTTCAACAAAGGAGGACCATATTTCTTAGACTCATCATCATCATTATTTTATTACAGCCCTTCACAAGTCCACTGCTGAACATAGGCCTCCCCCAATGAATGCCACAAAACACGGTCCTGAGCCACCTGCATCCATAGACTTCCTACATGTCTTACCAGGTCGTCACTCCATCTCGTGGGGGGACGCCCTACATTTCGCCTACCGGTACGAGGCTGCCACTCGAGAACCTTTCTTCCCCAACGGTTGTCGGTTCTTCGAGCTATATGGCCGGCCCACTGCCACTTCAGCTTACTAATCCGTTGGGCTATATCGGTTACTCTGGTTCTACTGCGGATATCCTCATTCCTAAATTAATCACGCAGAGAAACTCCGAGCATAGCCCTCTCCATAGCTCGCTGAGCGACCTTGAGCTTCCTCATACGGCCAGCAGTGAAGGACCACGTCTCAGTTCCGTAAGTCATCACTGGCAACACGCACTGGTTGTACAATTTCGTTTTCAGGTTTTGAGGTATGTCTGACGAGAAGATGTGTCGTAGCTTCCCGAACGCTGCCCAGCCGAGTTGAATCCGTCGATTGACCTCTCGATCGAAGTTGGACTTACCTAGTCGGACTATTTGTCCCAGGTAAACATACTCGTCAACAACTTCGAGCTTAGTGCTCCCAACAACTACCGGCATAGGTGTGACATGGACATTGAACATGATCTTTGTTTTGTCCATGTTCATCTTAAGACCTATCCGTTGGGAAACACTATCGAGGTCATTGAGCATAGTGCTTAGGTCCTCCAGCGATTCTGCCATGAGGACTATATCGTCGGCAAATCGAAGGTGAGTGATGTACTCGCCATTGATGTTGATACCGTATCCTTTCCAGTCCAGAAGCTTGAAAACGTCTTCCAATGCAGCGGTGAAGAGTTTCGGGGATATGACGTCACCCTGTCTTACACCTCTCTGCAATTGGATAGGTTTCGTACTCTGGTTCTGTACTCGGATAGCCATCGTAGCCCTACTGTACAAGCACTTCAACACTTCGATATACCGACAGTCAACTTGGCACCGCTGAAGGGACTGCAGCACCGCCCAAATTTCGACGGAATCAAAGGCTTTCTCATAGTCCACATACGCCAGACATAGTGGCAAATTGTACTCTTCGGACTTCTGTACAATTTGCCGAAGGGTATGTATGTGGTCTATGGTGCTAAAGCCCTTTCGGAAACCGGCTTGTTCGGGAGGCTGGAAGTCGTCAAGTCTGCGCGCGAGACGATTCGTAATGACTCTCGAAAACAGCACGTAGACGCGGCTCAGAAGGGAAATCGGTCTGTAGTTCTTCAAGAGAGCGTTGTCACCTTTCTTGAAGAACAAGACCACCGCACTTCTGCTCCACGCCTCCGGTGTAATGCCACCATGGAGGACGGAATTAAAGAGCTTCTGAAGGACTTCAAGTACCGATCTTCCACCCGCTTTCAGAAGCTCCGCTGTAATTCCATCCTCGCCTGGGGCCTTACCGTTTTTAAGGTGCTGGAGAGTCATTCTAATCTCGCTCAGACTGACGTCCGGGATATCTTCGGAATAGTGTCGGATGAGACTCGCTCTTGGATCGTTACTCACACTTGCGTGTGGCTCCAACGATGACGTGTACAGCTGCCCATAGAACCTCTCAATCTCACTCAAAATCTCAGGTGTCCCGGAAACGATGCTGCCACATTCTGTCTTCAGCTTTGACAGGTGGCTCTTTCTGGCAGACAGATCTCTGGCAAAGACTTTGGAGCCTTGGTTCCGCTCGATCGCTTCTTCAATACGAGCTGTATTGAAGTTGCGTAAGTCCCGCCGCATGCATTTGAAGATCTGTCTGTTCAGATGCCTGTATGCTGTCAAGTCTGTTGAAGAATGTAGCTTCATCTCCCGTCTAACAGCCTTGAGATTAAGAGTGATCGGAGAGTTTTTGTGTTCTTCTGCGGCGGGTCTTGCAGAACTTAGCTCCGACCGCATGGACAGTTTCCACGAGCTTGTCATTCATATCGTCCACTTCATTGCAGTCTTCTAGGCACTGAAAACGGTTTTGTAACTCGAGCTGAAAGGTTTCGGGACTTTGGATTAGAGCAAGAGGGGGACGGAGCGTTGACTTCATTAGACGAGACCTCTCCAACTTAACGTTTAGGTTCAGTGTGCCTCTAACCATTCGGTGATCGCTACCAGTTTTCACCCTCGCGATCACGGAGACATCACTGAGCAGTTGTCGTCAGGTCGTCATAATGAAGTCAATCTCATTTTTTGTCGAACCATCGGGGCTCGACCAGGTCCACTTCCTGTGGGGCCGCTTCTGGAAGAAAGAGTTCATCATAAAGAGTCCCTCTTTCTCCATGAAGCCGGCCAGCTGCTGGCCCCTTGGGTTCCGTTGCCCTATTCCAAATTTCCCTACTTTCAGCTCACCGTTCTCTCTTGTGCCTAGTTTTGCATTGAAGTCTCCCATTAACACCGTTTATTGGGTTTTGGAGGAATGCATGGCTCTAGGGATATCCTCATACATTTCCTCCACCTCCCCATCGGGGTGTGCCGAGGTTGGTGCGTAAACCTGTATGACCTTCAGCGAATACCGTTTGGTGATTCTGAGATTAGACTATTTTTAATTAAACATATCATTTCACGTGATGGTAAGTTACATGTTACAGTCCACTGTACAATCAAAGTAGGTAGTTCGTAGTTCGTAGTAAATTCATTCATCCCAGAAAATTATGTCAAGCAATATTACGATATTTTTCATTTAACTTGAAATTTAAATTTTAGTTTTAGGTATTTTTATTATTTAACACAATACTAAATACTAAAAAGTGTCTGATGCCCATTTTTTTATAGGATAAGGGTGACAAACGAGCACACAGTCCACCTGATGGTAAATGATTGCTGCGGCCCATAGACATCTACATCTATCCTCTATTACAAATCAAAATATAGATGCTTTGTCACCCGTGAGGACTAAGATGGAATGCCTCGTTTCCAGTAAAAAGGGCCTCCGACCACCTGCATTCACCAAGCGAAACGCAGAGGTAAACCTCTGCTTCTCGCTGGTTTTCTGTGAGGTCGTGGTACCACCCCGGTTCGAGCCGGCCCATCCGTGCGACAGCAAAAGCTGCCGCGTGGCTCTACCACTGTTTAAAATCAAATCAAATTCTCGAATGTTGTCCATTCGAGATTGCTAAAAAATTCTCACTTCCAAGAGATCTAAGAGGCCAAAGCATTTATTTGCTTGTACCCGAAACGACGAACAAAGTGTATAATGTGCGATGTCGGTATTAAGTATATTCCGTACGAGTCGGAATGGCGAGTAAAAAACTAAATGTTATATCTTCAAATAGGGATAGGGCTGCAACTGCGTTGCACTGCTATTTTTGTTTAAATTTGGATTTTAGCTTCAAGTCTTGATACATTTATTTAAAATAATAATGAATAAAAGAGGCAACGTCAAAGGTGTGAGAATTTCGGTACTGTGATAGTCAATAGGCTTGACAAACATAACAATTAAGGCAAATCCTCCTACAAAGGGAGAGGCCCTTGTCCAGTAGTAAACGTAAAAGTGCTGATAAAGACAGATGAAAAATATATAGTTTACCCCTGTCCTTTGCATTATTGGACAACCAGACGCTCGGCCAGTCGCCACCCCTATTTTGTTGATTCAATGATAATATAATTTGAACCAAATGGTTTCCTTTTTCTTTCTTATTGCGTACATTATTGGAGTGAAATAATTTGCTTTCCATACGATTACAATAAAAGTGTCTTCAAGAAAAGAGTGAATGGGCTTTTGTTAAGTTGCGCTTTACCTTCTTTGGCCACATCACCAGTTATCATCAGATTGGAATAGAAGTTAATTACTAGCATATAATAGTTAAAAAAGTGTGGGTGTTTTTAAAAGCTACTTATTTATGTGCCTAATTATTTCGCAACTTACAAGTTAATTAATGAGTTCCGCCGATTATACCTTATAGATATAATATGGGTGATAGTGAATAGCACCAACACTTACCAGTGCAAGGGTATCGACTATGTTCTCACCAATCTAACTTACTAGAGTGGTGATAGTGGACATGTTATTTGCCACAAATTTAGTAGGTTTACCTATATGCAATAGTAGCCAGTAACCGTGCAGTAGCGTCGTTATAGGCGTCGTAAGAGAATTCAATAGCAGGAAACTGAAACAGGAGAATGACAGTAGTGTCTTACAATTAAAAACATAAAATAATATTAAAAAACTTTAGTTGAAAATCCGCTTGCAAAGCCTGGCAACTGGGGAAATATCTTCCTGTTAGGCAATCTGTGGGGGAGACCTACGTACAGCTAAAGACTTTGATAGGCTATGATAACGATGATAATGATGAGTAGCCAGTATATAGGAAAAGAAAGAAACGTATTTTTTGTGGATAAACCAAAATAGTACTATATAGTAGTTTTCCACATGATGAATGTCAAAGTTGGCAGATAAAAAAGATTACTTATCTTTGTTATCTGCCAATGCTACCTAATTGGTGTGAAGGTAGCGAACCTATGTTGGAGATTATACTGAAACAATAAACGTTGTTTATAATATTAGTCATATAAATTAGATTTAACGAAAGGAAATTCTAACTATTGTTGTGAATCTTCGGTACAATGCACAAGTTTTTGTTGCTTGTTACAATTTCTGGTTTAGGGGGTAAGCATTACTTATAATGTTTTATTTTATTTATTTTTTGTATTTTTTTTGATTCTAATCTATTTTTAAGGACTGTCACCTATCAAAACTCTCTATTGTGCCATTACTTGAGAGTGGCCTATGTTCAAAAGTTGACTTATGCGGAGCTGTTAAGATGATGACGATGATGACAGTGAAATTTAAATCTAAAATCAGTTTAAAAACTTGGATCAAAATTACATGTATTCAATTGAATATTTTCAGTGTCTACGCCAATAACCAAACAAAAAGAAGATGTGAGAGTTGTGGGTGGCGAAGATATTGATATTACTGCGGCACCTTATCAAGTATCAATAGTTTATGCTGGCACACACTTATGTGGAGCTTCTATTATTGCAAATGATCTTATTCTTACTGCAGCTCATTGCTTCAAGAGGTATGAAATTAAATTCAGTTTTTTTTTTATAGGAGAGTTGGCAAGCGAGCATGCGGCTCACCTGATGGTAAGTGACTACCGCCGCCCATGAACAACTGCAACACCAGAGAGGGAATTGCAGAAGCGTTTCCGGCCTTTTAAAAAGGAGTACGCTCTTTTCTTGAAGGTCCCTAAGTCGTATCGGTCCGGAAACAGAACTGCACGTCACTCGATATGTCGACTCCGAGGATACCGATACTGGCTGAGGCAAGATGGGGAGTGCCTTGAAACTGAGGAGATACGACAAAGGGGTTCTTTTTAGCGGTAAACGCGCAAACTTGTCTCTTCTGGGGATTAAACTGGACTAGATTTAGTCGCCCCAAATCCGAGAATTTATTCAGCAAAGACTCGACTTCAGACACAAGTTTGTTCCGGTACTCGGCGACGTTTTCCCGAGAAATATTGGCACGGCCAGTGTATAGAGCATCACCAGTGCTGTCATCCGCATAGCAATTAATCTTACCAGTTAGCAACATATCATTGATATGCAGAAGAAACAGCGTTGGTTATAGTACACAGCCTTGTAGAACACCAGCGTTAATAGGCTTGTAGTCAGAGCATGCACCGTTTTCAACGACCTTGATGCTCCGATCTGCAAGGAAGCTGGTGATCCAATTGCACAATTCCTCGGGATGCCCATAGGAAGGGAGCTTCGAAAGTAGCGCTTTGTGCCAAACCCGATCGAAGGCCTTCGCAATGTCCACACTAACGGCCAACGCCTCCCCCTTGGACTCTACTGCCTCCGCCCATCTGTGGGTCAGGTAGACCAGAAGATCACCAGCTGATCGACCCCGACGAAAACCGTTTTGGCGGTCACTAATCTGCTGGTGATCCTCAAGGTACAGGATGAGCTGGCAGTTAATAATGGATTCCATTATTTTGGAGAACAAGGAGGTGATTGCGATAGGCCTATAGTTGGATGGGTCTGAGCGGCCGCCTTTTTTTGGGATCGGGTGGACAAAAGCTGTCTTCCATGAATTCGGGACTACGCCTTGGGAGTAGGAGTACCGGAAATGACGCGTTAGGACTGGTGCCAACTCCGGAGCACACGTCCTCAGCACAATTGGGGGGATTCCGTCAGGCCCACTCGACTTCTGGATGTCCAGGGAGAGCAGTGCTTTGCGAACCGAGCGCTGTGAGAACAGCACATCCAGCATGGAGCACTCACACCGCGGGATGGTCGGCGGTGTTTTCCCCCCGTCATCAAGAGTCGAGTTGGACGCAAAAAGGGAGCCTAAAAGGTCGGCTTTGTCTTTTGCGTCTTGGGCCAGTGAGTTATCCTCCCTGTGCAGAGATGGTAGTAATGGCTTACAGAAATTCCCTTGGACAGCCTTGGCGAGAGACCAGAATGCACGTGTTCCCGAAGGAAGGCGAACTAGTTTCTCGCCAATTCTGCCTATGTGCTTGCCTATGTGCAACTTTGCCTTGGCAATAACTCTTTTGAAGGTCCTGGAGGCGAAGTTATTCTTCTTTTTAAGTGTGCTGGTGTTTACATCCCGCGTCGCCGAAGCCGCAGCCCAGCCTTGATAACACTCCTGCTTACCGCGTAATGCAGTCTTACAGGAGCGACCATACCAAGGCTGAGATCTGCCTCCAATGGGTACCACAGATGATGGAATAAATAGTTCCATTCCCTGTTGCACCACATCAGTGACAGAGTCAGCAACGGCGCTGGGATCATCCGGCGAGAAGCAAACCCACCCCCATGGGTAGGATGCAAAGAAAGACCGCATTCCGTCCCAATCCGCCGACCTGTAATGCCAAACACGGCGGCAACCTACAGAACGCAATCACGAAGGGAGCGTGAGTGGCACCATACTCCGGATCAGACAATGGTCCGAAGAGTCGAGAAGGGCATCGACGGAAACCTGATATCCGTCCGGATGAGAGGTCAGCAGAAGGTCCAACAGGGAAGGTGTATGATCCTCCACATCTGGAATCCGCGTAGGCGAAGTAACCATTTGTGTCAGACCATATGCCAAGGCAAAGTCATAAACAGATCTCCCCGCATGATCGGTTAAACCTGATCCGAGCCATTGGGCATGGTGGGCGTTAAAATCGCCAAGGATCACGATCTCGCGGATGGGACCTGTAGAAGCAAGGAATCTGTAGCAATTTGGACGTGGTCGATGAGTCGGTCTGTTTCGGCATTACCGCTTCTTATTTTAGTATCAATCACTTCTTATTTTATTATCAACTCACTTGGTTTTTTTCATTGAAATTTAATGAATAACAGTGAAACAATTGTTAGTGTAAAGTATGAGCTCGTAGCTCAGGGAATAAGGTACATAGATTCAAGTCCCTTAATAAAAGTAAAACGACGGAATAGTAGCGCAATTATTTACATATGTAGATTCAATGAATAAATTTGAAATAAATGTTTTAAGTTTCAGCTCGAATCCCCGTGATTACTCTATTAGAGTAGGCTCTTCGTCAAACTTTAAAGGAGGTTTTTTGTACCCAGTTGGTGATTTACAACTTCACCCGAAATTTTCAATGTCGAATATGGATAATGATATAGCACTAATGTGGCTATCAATACCTTTAAAATTTAGTGCTAGCGTCGCTCCTATACGAATGGTTGAACAAGGCGAAGAGATTAAAGATGGTGATATGACAATCATCACTGGCTGGGGAAACTTAAGGGTAATACTTTTGTTACTTTTATTTAATTGATTGAACCGAGTTTGTTACCTTAACTCCATTTCTAAGTGCGTGTGGGCAGAAATATGAAATTAGGCAAGCTACCCGAGCTTCTCAAAGAATTTTACTGAGTGTTTTTGTTACCGACAATCTCATGGAAAGATCACCATATCTTCTACGTAATCCCTTACTACATCCCTTTACCCTATAATTCATTGAATTTGAATCCGTAACCACTTTAAAAAGGTATAGCAATGTTTTTAAAATGTATTTATTGTTGAATACAAATTGGTTATTCAATTGTCATAAAATAAATTCTGCCTAGATAAAAACCGCCAAAATCCGAATGGTGATAACCATTTTGCAGTGTATGTTACAAGAAAAAATCTACTAGATTAGTTAATTTTAATTATTTCTATAGTATAATGTCGTATAGTATTTTTCTTTGACGCAACTCACACCAAATCATATTTGATTTTCAAAACAGAGACTTAAAAGCAATCTACGATTTAAAATCTAAACGGTCTTAGTACAAACGTCGTTAATTGATAGCCTTACAAAACATTTAATTACCATCAGCTGGACAGTTTGCTTATTTAACACCACTATTCATTAGTAATATCATCATAAGTCCATAATTCTTACGAGTATAATTAAAAGGTACTACTACTACATATACAGTAACATGTTTGCGGCAATTGCTTACGATATTGACGATCTTTAATTCTGTTTAAAATTCTGTGAAATTACTTAGCTTTGTCCTACTATTGTGGTCTACTGTTAAATATTTTGGGGAAATTTTATATTGACTTGGTAAACGGTCGGGAAACCCAAATGAGCTGAAGCAGATAATTACAGAATTAAAACGATGCTAAAGCACACTTGAAATGTTTCTCGTTCAATTATTATGATGTGTACTTTTTCAATCTAATTGCAGTTCTTTTTAAAAATATGTAACTTTTCTGTATAATTTTACATTGGCTTTAAGTTTTATTACATATCTAAAGAACTACCTGCGTCTTGTGATCTCATCTCGTATCCAGTCTTTAATTGTAGTCGCAAATTATTCCGCGATTAATATATGTCTCATTATAACCTAATAAATTTTTAGGAGGGAGGTGGTTATCCATTATCATTACAAATGGTCTCATTGCCCATCGTAAATCCATCATTGTGCAAAAAAGCTTATGATAAAATATATGTTATCACACCAGCCATGTTATGTGCTGGAATACCGGAAGGTGGCAAAGATTCTTGTCAGGTAACCATTTTATTCATTTAACGTAAAAGAACAGTTTATGATTACAATAAATTATAATACAAACTTTTGTATGCAGGCGTACGACATACTCGAAATTCCTTTTATCATAACAATAAATCTGATTAGTGTTTATTGCTATTATCTGAATAGAAGCAACAACTTTAATAATGAATACATCGACTAAATTGTTGGCCGACGAAAGTTTAAGTAACAGCTTCTAGTCAAGAAGTTTGCGTTGTTTTCCCCAAGTGTCTGGAAATTCACGTAAAAAGCCATTGGTCCTACGCCTGATATTTCCCAAGTCGTGTAGGTCTATAATAAAAGGAGAGAGAGAGATAGAAAGAGAGAGAGAGAGAGAGAAAGAAAGAGATAGTAGAGAGGGCACTTGTGCTAATATTATCCAGAGCAGATGGCTGTCCTTGAGACTGGCTCCGTGGCCGAAATTCATTATCATCATCATTACATCTCTTCACAAGTCCACTGGTGAATATAAGCCTTCCCAAGGAATGCCACATGGCACGGGCCCAAGCCACCTGCATCCATTGACTTCCTGCATGTCTTACCAGGTCGTCACTCCATCTAGTGGGATGACCTACCCCCTACACTTCGCTTGTCTGAACGAGGCATTTCTTCGAGAACCTTTCTTCCCCATCGGTTGTCGGTTGTCGGAGCTATATGGCCGGTTCTACTGTGGATATCCTTGTCTCTAAGGAGAGGGCACATAGGCAGAATTGGCGAGAAACTAGTTCGACTTCCTTCAGGAATCCGTGCGTTCTGGTCTTTCGCCAAGGTTTCCAAGGGAATATCACGCCGCAAAAGAGAAAGTCAACCTTTAATGCTCCCTTTTTGCGTCTAACTCGACTCTTGATGACGGGGGGAACACACCGCCGACCATCCCGCGGTGTGAGTGCTCCATGATGTGCAGTTCTCACAGCGCTAGGTTCGCAAAGCACTCCTCTCCCTGGACATCCACTAGTCGAGTGGGCCTGACGGATTCCCCCCAATTGTGCTGAGGAGGTGTGCTCCGAAGTTGGCACCGGTTCTAACGTGTCTTTTTCGGTACTTCTACTCCCTAGGCGTAGTCCCAAAATCATGAAAGACAGCTGTTGCCCACCCGAACCCTAAAAAAGGCGACCGCTCAGACCCGTCCAACTACAAGCCTATCTCCATCAACTCCTTGTTTTCTAAAATAATGGAATCCATTATTAACTGCCAACTCATGCGGTACCTTGAGGATCACCAGCTGATTAGTGACCGCCAATACGGTTTTCATCGGGGTCGATCAGCTGGTGATCTTCTAGTCTACCTGACTCATAGATGGGCGGAGGCAGTAGAGTCCAATGCCTCCCATTGGTCGTTAGCTTGGACATTGCGAAGGCCTTCGATCGGGTTTGGCACAAAGCGCTTCTTTCGAAGCTCCTTTCCTATGGGCTTCTCGAGAAATTGTGCAATTGGATTACCAGCTTCCTTGCAGATCAGAGCATCAAAGTCGTTGTAGACGGTGCATGCTCCGACTACAAGCCTATTAACGCTCGTGCTCCACAAGGCTGTTTGCTATCACGAACGCTGATTCTTCTGCAAATCAATGATATGTTGCTAAGTGGTAACATTCATTGCTATCGGATGACAGCACTGGTGATGCTTTATACACGAGGCGTGCCAATATTTGCAATTAATTGTGTAAGACAAACTTGTGTCTGAAGTCGAGTTTTTACTGTACAATAGTCTCGTATTGGCGGCGACTAAATCAAGTCCAGTTTAATCCTCAGAAGACACACGTTTGTGCATTTACCGCTGAAAAGAACCCCTCTGTCGCATCTCATCAGTTTCAAGGCACTGCCCTTGCTGCCTCAGCTAGGATCGGAATCCTCGGCGTTGACATATCGAATAGTGTGCAGTTTCGTGGTCACTTGGAAGAGAAGGCCAAATTGGCTACTAAAAAGCTTGGCGTGCTCAGCAGAGCGGGACAGTATTTCATGCCGGCACACCGCCTGCAACTTTACAAGGCGCAGGTTCGGCCTCACATGGAATACTGTTCCCATCTCTGGGCAGTGGCTCCCCAGTGCCAGCTCCTTCCACTTGACCGCATCTAACGCAGAGCGGCTCGAATCGTCGACGACCGAGCCCTTTCCGATCGGCTCGATTCATTGGCACTGCGAAGAGATGTTGCATCCCTTTGCATTTTCTTTCGCATCTACCATGGGGAGTGCTCTGAGGAATTGTTCGGATTAATCCCAGCCGCCAAATTTCACGAACGCACATCGCGGCAGAACTCCCGATACCATCCACACCATCTGGATGATTGGCGGTCCACCACTGTGCGATTTAGAAGATGTTTTCTTCCTCGCACGACTTCCTTGTGGAATCGATTACCATTTTTTCGATTTCGATTACCAGCGATTTTTCTGGACCGATACGACTTAGGGACCTTCATGAAAAGAGTTTACTCCTTTTTAAAATGCCGGCAACGCATAATATGCAATTCCCTCCCTGGTGTTGCAGTTGTTTATGGGCGGCAGTAGTCACTTACCATCAGGTGAGCCGCATGCTCGTTTGCCCCCTCTCCTATAAAAAAATATGTCTATCACGCAAAGAAATATGGCATAGCCAAGCATAGCCCTCTCCATAGCTTGCTGAGTAACTATGAGCTTCATCATACGGCCAGCAGTGAAGGACCACGTCTCAGATCCATAGGTTATCACTGGCAACACGCATTGGTTGTACAATCTATTATTGAGGTTTTGAGGTATGTTTGACGAGAAGATGTTTTGTTTTCTCCCGAACGCTGCCCAGCTGAGTTGAAGCCGTTGATTCACCTCTCGATCGAAGTTGGACTAAGTCCTTAGGACCAAGTCGGACTATTTGTCCCAGGTAAACATACTCGTCAACAACTTTAAGCTTAGTGGACCCAACAACTACCGGCATAGGTGTGACATGAACGTTAAACATGACTTTTGTTTTGTTCCGTTGGGAGACACTATTGAGGACATTGAGCATAGTGCTTAGGTCGTCCAGAAATTCTACTATAAGGACTATATCGTCGGCACATCGAAGGTGAGTAATGTATTCGCTATTGACGTTAATACCGTATCCTATCCAGTGCAGTAGCTCGAAAGTTTCGGGGATATCACGTCATCCTGTCTTACACCTCTCTGCAATGGGATAGGTTTCGTACTCTAGTTCTGTACTTATATAGCCATTGTAGCCCTAATGTACAAACACATCAGCATTTCGATATACCGACAGTCCACTTGGCACCACTGAAAGGATTGCAGCACCGCACAAATTTCGAAAGAATCAAAGGATTTCTCAGTGTCCACATACGCAAAATAAAGTGGCTCATTGACACACTCCCAAATTTTACATTGTTGTTAACGAGAGACTTGTGGACGATAAATCCGACACGTCCTTGGGACAAATGGTTGCCCTACCGGTGATATAACAAGTTGCCGGATTCAAGGATTACCGTTTTCTCTCCCTCTCTTTTATCTCATAATATTCCAGCGCAATTTGTCTATTTCTTCGTGCAGCTCCAAGATCTTCTCGTCAGTTCCTAGGGTGTGAACGTTATAAGTTGCCAGGTCGAGTCGTCGTAGTGGCAAACAAACCTCCACCGGATATTCTTAGCAGCCGCTGCCCCGCCGTTACCATGGTCGTCACCGTAGGCAGGAATAGCGTAGCCGCCGGGGACTAGGGGCCGTTTATTAGTGTCGTTGTCTATGAGGGCTATATTGCCATAGTTTCCACGCTTGGCGAGCGGGTTGGCAACCGCAGATTTTTATTGATTTTTGCTTTTATCAGAAAGTCGCTGCTGCATATCTTCTGCCGCAGTTTCTCTCTGTTGCCTCTTACGACACCCACGGGAAGATATGGGGTAGTTTGTATTCTTACCCGCCGCTACACAGGAAATTGGTCTAGAGGAAGTTAATAATTAGATTACTGTGACTTAATTCTAAGTCGCTATTTAATAAATTGTACGGAAGAAATCTACCTAAGACATATTATATGTATCACTATTTAATAATACGTATTTTATTTTAGGGTGACAGTGGAGGACCATTGGTACATAATGGAAGATTAGCTGGTGTAGTTTCATGGGGACTAGGTTGTGCTCGACCACGTTATCCTGGAGTATACACTAAAATCTCGGCGCTGAGAAGATGGATCGATCAGAACAGTTACTACTTAAGACAAAAACACCTAAGACCTTGAAGAAGCTATTCAATATATAATTGACCGGGCTTAACTTATTGACACAGAATAAAAATGTTAACTAAATTTATTTCTTTTATTTCCCTTTATAAAAAATATAATGTTTTTCGGGGTTGTTTAAAAAAATTAAGATATTAGATATTAATAAAGATAGGATTAAAAAGAGACAGACGAACTTTTTTCTAATCTTTAGAACAGAACTTAGCTTTTGTAATTAGAAATTTATGTTTTATCTTTATGGCCAATTTTTCACTATACAAATTAATTGAGTTTAAGTACAATCATGATCACTGTCACGGTAAAATTATTAAAAATTTTAAAATATTTAGGCGTTACTAATAAACTAATTTAGCAAATCTTTTTTAGATTTTGTGTACTTTTGTGGCAATAACCAACAATAATATCTTGTGAATGTAAGTCATTTTGATCTACTAATATAGAATTTGTTAATAGTTTGACTAAAACGCCACCTATCAGATACTAAGCATAACTAAGATCTGCTAACACAGAAAATATTCTTAAGTTAAACTATTCTTCTCTTAATAACTCTTCAATTCCCATGCCTATGTTTATCAAAAAAAACAATACATTCTTTTATTATAAGGTCCAGATACATTTAGTATAGACCAAATAAAATTATAAAAATAAGGCAACTACCCCCATTTATTTCTATAGGGGTGTCACCTACAGGTGACAGTGGGCATTGTTTAAATAGCTCATAAAGTTTAAGTTTTCTTTCTGTAAGGATAAAACATCCGTTTTTATAAAAGAAATATTTATTGCCAAATAAGAAAGAAGCGTTTTATTACCATAAAACATATACTAGAACTTTAGATGCAAAACGATATGGTACTTGGCGCACATTTTTCGCGTTTGTTGATGACATTATCTACGTCACCGCTGCGATCGGACAACTTCTACATGGTCATTGGCGATACCTGCAGGCTAGGCACTCTAATCTGGACTGGAAATCCATAGGCACAATCACGGGTTGAAGGCTTATCATATGTTTGCAGGTAGATGGTACCAACGTTTCTGCAAAAATCACAGTCGTTATTTTGGCAAGCAGCGTCTATATCAAAAGCAAACAGGATACCACTACTTTTTTCCGCGAAGTCAAAATGGTTTAATGGTAAGCCAGTAAAATAGTTTTACTCTCCCAATTCTGTTGATAATCTGGAGAGAAGTTCCAGAACAACCGCAGCTCCTAGGCCCATATCTGAATGCAACTTGAGGGCTGTCATCTCCTTTTATAAGTGTATAAAAACGTATACGTTACAGTCTTCTTTACCACAAGTAGTAGAAAGATGGTACACCAACGGTACCATCTTTTTATAGTACTTCCTTTTTTATATTTTTTCTTTGGTTGACTTTTTTTCTTCTACTTCCTTATCATTTACACAATTTTTTTCAGAGTCAGAAGGTCTACTTTGTAGATCTACTTAAGACTGAAACATACAATTAGGAAAATAAAGTATATTTGCCTCGTTTTCATCCCCACTGTCTTCGTCAGTTACCTTACCATCACCAGGACGATATAAAATGATATTCCCTGCGCCATCCCCGACTTGCGACTCCTCAGCAAACTTATCTAACGTCAACCCGTAAAACGTAAATATGCTCCAAAATACCATCACCACTACACAAAGCAATCCAAATAAATCAATAGTTGTGATTAGAAATAATGCCCAGTGTCACCCACAGGTGACACGTCATAGTTTGAGCATTTTAATGAGTATAGTAACGTTATTTAATTTTAAATTGCATTAATATTATGGCTTATATATTCATTTATCACGTGCAGTAAGAAAAATAACAATACTTATGATGTCAACATTTTTATCTCAGTTTGTATTGCAAGAAATCACACTTACTCAGAAAACTCCAAATACGAGCGAATTGAATTGAATGAATTCTACAAATGACGTTTAATTAGACTTAAAATAAAATAACAATAAATTTAAATACTAGTTATTCATTTTAGTAATAACAGTAAGATGCAAAAAAAATATTGTTCGCGCAAACACTTTCAAGAATTGACGCGAGAGGGCGCTCGGCGCGGTGCATTCATACCGGTTTGACTTTCGGTCGTGCGAAAAACGCCCAAGGGCAGTGAGTCGTCTTTAATCGGTGCTGACGTGAGCACGCGGTCCATTCTGTTAGGGAACTCGGAATAATTAGGCGCGGCCAGTAAATATACGGTCTATCATTGTGACGCGCATTCCTACTGGAGAGCTTCCCGGGACTTATTGTGTCTGACTCAAAACCTGCATAAGTGCATTCGGCAATATTAGATAGTGCGGCCTCTGATATTCAAGAATTAACTATTGCTTCGCGAAACGGTAGTGACCTTTGACCCTTTGAACTCCGTGTGCGTTTGTGCGGTAACCATTATACCCAGCGATAGTTAGTGGCTTCTGTAAGTTAGTAAATCGTACGATAGAGTTAAGTGACTGTTATCGTGACGAAAGAAGAAAGTGACTGTGGACAACCTCGAAAGGCGCCCTCAAGTTGGAGCGGTGTCGACGCTCGGGCTGCTGCCGACGGCCAAGGTCTAGGTTCAATAACCATCAGTCACACCCAGATACACACCACATCACCATTCTTTCTTTGCACTACACAACCACATGCGACCTGACCGACTCCGGAGGGACCAGTCGCCTTGGATAGGTAAGTAAGCTTCATCCAAATTCCTTCCGGTCGACTGGCCGTAGTATAACGCTCCCCCATATATTTTAGAGTAATTGGAGAGATTCCACGTGGCCACATTAAGGCCCGACCTACGTCTGTTCGGGAAATCTTCAGCTCATGGGCCCCTGATGATTGGATCCTTTAAGGGAGCAGCCGTAGGCCGTAACAAACTGGTAGCAGAGCGCGGTTCCGGGTTCGATTCCCGGTCGATCCCGACTATAGTGTTTGATAAACATTAAACAATTTGGTGGCAGGGAGCGTTGGTGTGATTGGTTTAATTTGCATCTACAATCACGCCCGTCCGTAATACGTAAAAATATTTTTTTGTACGTAATAATAGAATTATTTTCCTTTGTTGCTTTGTTGCTTGCCTTTTTTTTTGGTTAGAGGGTAATTTGAAAAGCCGCGCCCTAGGTTGTGCAAGCGGGAGTTTTTCTAGAGATATACGTCATGTAGGTAGATGGTTATTTTTACGTAATCGGTTAATTATCGTTGTCGGATAGTTGTAGTGGATTACTTATCGAAGGTTCGATTTCCGAGCTAGGCATTTTTGTTATTCGACCGTGATGTGTATCTTCGTTTAGACTGTAATTTGTATTTGAACTAAAGAGTAGTAATTGTATTTGCCTTCGATCGGGTCTGGCACAAAGCGCTTCTTTCGAAGCTTCCTTTCTACCCGAGAAATTGTGCAAATGGATCACCAGTTTCCTTGCTGAACTGAGGATCAAGGTCGTAGTAGACGGTGCATGCTCTGATTTCAAGCCTATTAACGCTGGTGTTCCACAAGGCTGCGTGCTATCACCAACGCTGTTTCTTCTGTATATCAATGCTATGTTGCAAACTGGTAACATTCATTGCTATGCACTGGTGATGCATTATATACCGGCCGTGTCAATATTTCTCGGGAAAACGTCGCCGAGTACCGGGACAAACTTGTGTCTTAAGTCGTATTTTTGCTGAACAAATTCTCGGATTGAAGGCGACTAAATCTAGTCCAGTTCAATCCCCAGAAGACACAAGTTTGCGCGTTTACCGCTAATAGGAACCCCTTTGTTGTATCTTCTCAGTTTCAAAGCACTCGCCTAGCTGCCTCAGCTAGCATCGGAATCCTCGGCGACCACATATCGAATAGTGTGGAGTTTCGTGGTCACTTTATACCTCTTTAATTTTCAAACTGAAACGGCAGTCAATTAAATATGACGATGTAAATAATGCTCTATCGAAACTAGAACATTGGTTTAACGCCAATAATTTGCTCTTAAACGGCAATAAGACAACATGAATTAAATTTACAATACCTAATGTAAAACATTCGAAAACCAATGTGCTCTTAAATGGGGAGGAGTTGAGTCTTGTGGATACCACTGTTTTTCTTGGTATTACTATTGACGCGAAACTTCAATGGGGCCCCCATATATCTAAATTACCAAGCAGACTTAGTTCTGCAGCATGTGCTGAAAGAAAGATTAGAAGTCTCACAGATGTTGAGACAGCTAGGTTAGTGTATTTTAGTTACTTTCATAGCGTAATGTCTTATGGAATTTTGCTATGGGGTAATGCGACTGATATTGAAGCTATATTTATTTTGCAAAAGAAAGCCGTACGGGCGATTTATAATCTAAATTGTAAAGAGTCCCTCAGAGAAAAATTTTAAGAAATAAACATGTTTACTTTGGCATCGCAATATATTTATAAAAATGTTATGTATGTACATAAAAACATAAATAGCTTTAATAAAAATAAGGATGTTCATACCTTAAACACTAGGAACAAACATAAGCTTGTAATGCCAGTTACTAGACTCCATAGAATTAGTAATTAATTTATGGGACAATGTATAAGCTTTTACAACAAAATCCCAGAACATGTTCAAAGTTTGTCAATAAACAAGTTTAAAAGTTTTATTAAAGAAAAACTCTACAAAAAGGGTTACTATAATATCAAGGAATACATGAATGAAAATAACCCCTGGGAATAAGGTGATCGCCACCATGCTGGTTCTATGAAAATTCTTTAAAATTGTATAATCAAAATTATTGTTAAGTGAAATTATGTTTAAAAAAAAAGTCCCGCTGGGTTTCTTGCTGGTTCCTCCCAGGACAGAGGTATTTCCGAACCAGTGGTAAATAAAATAATGACTTTCAATAAGTATTATGTAATAAAAATCATATGTAAAAAATCATTCTATTCTATTCTATTCTATTCTTGGAAGGGAAGGCCAAATTGGCCTCTAAGAGGCTTGGCGTGCTCAGCAGAGCGAGACAGTATTTCATGACGGCACATCGCTTGCAACTTCACAAAGCGCAAGT